AAAATAAAGCACTAATGAATCGTAAATTACACACCTTAACACGTAAATTTGTTGCAAATGCCTGTAATTTAAAGAAGGGGGAAAAAAAAAAAAAAAGTTAGGGGGCTCAAGCCTCTAATGGGCCCATACCAACCAAATCTACGCCTGACCCAAGATAGAGGTCTTCACTCGTTCATTCACAATTCTTAACGTATTCATTTCACTGAGTTTACAATTCTAATTTTATTATAGTTAAAAATTCTCATAAAAAATTACATCTAATTTTTTATTACAGTTAAAAATTCTTACATAAAATTACATCTCAACTCGAATTAAAAACTTAAATTTACGAACTGAACGAGGCCTATATTGCTTTAATTAATAAATAGACATCGACATGATGGTAGCCTAATGGCACTGCACAAAATTTCAAGTCGTTTGATAGATAGGAATTCTCATATTTGTATTTGAAACCTGTCACATCATTATTTATTCATCTTGATAGGTTTAAAATGACACATTTTATCTTTTGATATTAGTAGTTATAACTAATATTTTTAAATATGTGAGAACCCCTATGATTACATCTTAGGGAGGTAGCTACTTCCAATCACCTTTCCCATGTTTTTTTTTTTCTCTATCACATCTTAGGGAGGTAGCTACTTCCAATCACCTCTTCCCATGTTTTTTTTTTTTTTTTTTTTTTTTTATATATCACAAAACACTATCAGACGTTGAAAAGGATGTATATTAATTCTTTTTATAATTCCTAATTGATTAGTAAACAATACGTAATCAATGCTTGATTCACATTCTCATTACGTGTTTCCAATCTAATCTCATCGCACTCATATTATTAAACGAAAAGTTACAGACTAAAAATAACGGAGTCTTTAAGATTTGCAAAAACAATATAATTTTGTGTCAGATAGAGATTTAGATCTTAAATTTTAAAAAAAATTTAAGACGGGGTTTGGTTGTTTTCATCTACCGATAAAACAGGGTTCATTTAAAGAATTTTATATATTTAAATAGTTTTATCTATGAATCAGAGTAATTTTGTTTCATATAATGCACTATTCATAAACTAGATTGTACAATACTAAAACCACATCTCCTTACTATTTAAGTCTCGTTTATTTCACCGATTCGAATTTAAAATTTGAGTTTTATTATAGTAAAAAATTATTAGAAACAATCACATTTAAATTTTTTACTATAATAAAAATCACTCACATAAAGTCACATATGAACTCGAATTAAAACTTGAATCATCGAACTAAAGAGATCCTTAACTTATAACACATAAAAAATTAGGGAGAATAAATGCAACAAAATAATCTTAAAAAAATTATCATTACTGAAATTTTGTGCAAGAAGACAAAATAGTCCAGTTGCAAATATAAAATTCCAATTCAAAAGTTTTGCTTTTAGACATGTATTGACATACCAATATATATCGACTTTTTTTAGAAGCAAAAACAAGAGAAAGCATTGTATAATATAGCCAAGGTCATAGGCTCTAGATACAAAGCAAATAGTGACGATCATTTATTCCAAAGTAATCTTCAATTACGATGAAACAGTCACCAAAATTAAGGTATGGTCCCCGCCAACATTCCTTAAGTCACACTCCCAAAACCATTGATTGCTAGCTGGTCAGATTGTTTAATTAATATCTTAAATCCTAATTGTTCCCCTTTTCGAGACTAAGTACACTTGTCCAAACCATGTTATTAACGTTTTTTAATTTACTTAGGAAGTTAAATTAACAATATTTAAGATTGTTCCCAATGTGTTGTAGCCAAAAATCAGAGCAATGATCCAGTTGGGATTTTTTCAGAGGCCTGCTTTCTATACTTGCACACGCAATTGGGCGACAAGTGGCAACATCTTCGTTTGTTATTTTCCAGCTACCTAGCTAGCTATAAAGCACAAAATAGTAACTATTTACAAGCACGTATGTATATATATAT